GTCAAGACCTTTTTTGTAGCACTCAATTTGCTCTAGAAAAAAGGTTATTACGAAAATTTCATTATCTCCTTTAAATTCGGAGATATTCTTCAAAAACTCAACTAAGAGATAAGTTGACTTAAACCGTTTTATCACTTCGATACTGAATTAAATTATTTTGTACTTGTTTATTGGAGGAGCGAAATTTATTTCAAAATATGCGAGTCCATTTTTTGAATCATCAAAATTATTGATAAAATGAAAGAAGAATGAGAAAAAATTGTGTGAAAGCAAATATACCATCATTTCATGGTTACTGTCATTACGATTGCCATTGTAATTACACGGATAATAATTGTTCCATCATTCTTTTCCCCTTCTCATAAATACCATTCGTACTTAGTGATTTATTTCGATTTATCGCTGGCCGTAAAACCTTGTCTCGTTGATCTAAACTACCGGTATTCAATTTCTGAGGTCCACAGAATTCCTCCTAGATAATCTTCACAATTGTAAATTCAGATGTGTATCGTGAGAAGACTAATAGAACGGAAGCTCCTCATTTTCTAGAGAGAAATGGCCACAATTACATCAACTGTTGGTCAGGCCCATTCGAAATCATTGCCCGCTGCTCTTTATATCCCCTCGATATAAAAAAGGCGTGTATTTTATTCTAATTATAAAGTTTCTTCGGTGAAAAAAAAAAATAACGAAGAGGAGGTATAATATTAGGGCCGGTGTTTGTAGAAGTAATGAGCTTGCTCTTCAACGAACTACCTCGTGCTATTGCCGTTATAGTCATAAACGTTAATCCTATAAGGCTGTAAAAGTGAAGGGCTGGCCCCGTTTTTTATGCAACAGTATAGATCAAATGCCGAGGTTATTTCGACCAGTTTCGACGCCAAATGACACCCGGAAAATTGGGGGATGCGCATGGAGGAAAATATTTTCTACACTGAGAGAAAAACAAACACGTTGTCAAACAAGTCTTGTTTGGGCCAACAAAATTGCTAGTTGAAAGTTGCCAAAAAAGAACTTGTTTGGTTCGAATTTGAAAGTCTCAAACATGAATAATTGTTCTGCTTTCGACAGCAACGAAATATTTGGCTCAAGAGGATGATAATTCACACCAAACGGTGCTTTTTCAGGATGAAAATATCTCATATGGAGGAAAATTTGTCGACAAATATTTTATCCCCAAGTTACAAGATTGCTATCATATCATTATTATTGTTTCATTTAGGGGTTAATTTCTTGTCTGTAGTTATTAGTCAGTCGGAACGAAAAACTACTGTCCCTTGTTTCGCATAAAACAAAGATTTTTCGGGAGCAAAATACGTATGGGAGTATCGAATAACGAATTATAATTCTTGCGTCTACAGAGAATGCAATTTTTTTTAACTACTAAATCTATTTTTGCGACAACAATTTTTCATTCCGGCGCACTCTCCGCACGTTTGGCACAAAAAAAAATCCTTTTTTGATCATTTTCAAAAAACTATTTTCTTGGCACAAGTAAGACTTGTTTGACACTTTGTCGTTTTTCTCTTAGTATAGTTTTCAGAACGAAGGAAATATTCGGAGAAACTCATGGATCTAGAATGCGTGAATACCAGGATTTTTAATAATTCCTGCAATTAAAAAAAACACCTCAATGTTTTCGACTTTTTTAGAAAAATCGAAAACATTGAGGTGTTTTTTGTAATACAGGAATTCTCAAAAATCCCGGTGTTCAATTTTCTCTTATTCTGGCCGGGCGAAGCCGGGCTACACAGCTAGTTTAATTATAAAAGATAATAACTTGATGAATTTTAATAATCTCTCAGTGTGACTATTAAATTCATGAACTCATTCAATAATGCATTCAAACTGAAACATCAACTCCGAGCATACAACGTTAATGTAATATGGAAATAACGAGTCCTCAGTTTAATTGCAAACGCCATCATATAATAATTAAAATCAAATGTTCACTGCATTGCACACTGAAAAATGAATTCACCTTAATTGTACTTACTTGATTCCCCTGCATCGAGCGCGGAACAAATTACCCTCGAATCTCAAATAAATTGCTTCAATTAGTCCGAAATTGAGAATGAATATTCCATCAAAAAAATTTGTAATTCAATGAAACAATAATTGGAATTGATTTTCCAAAGTTTCTCCGATATTCGTAACAGTTGAGTGAAGTAATCAGTGGATGGAGAGAAATCAATCGCAGGCATGTTACCCTGGATGTAGTGCGGAAACGTGGAAAATCCGATTCGTCGAGCAATCTTCCTTGCGGCATAATTAATTCACTAAAGGGGGAGGCAGGGGGTGAGAATTTTCAGAGTAAATATCGCTGGCCCCTGGAAACTCGGGGGAAAAAGATATCCGGGCTTTTCGCTTGCATATGTACCTGGGCGTGGAGAAGATAGCGGAGAGGTATTGGAAATTGATCGTGAAGAGTCTTGAGACTCTATGCTGAATACCGAAGTGGCCGTTGGTGAATTAAATGTGATCTCTTGAAATTCAAGAATCGTCCCTCTTCCGTGTAATTCCTGGGAAAATCGCCTGCGATTCAGCTTGAATTTGTTAAAGTAAATGCCGATGCAAGGAGTTGCCGTAATCGCCCTCATATTTCACTGCCCATTTCATGACAATTTGATAAGAATCTGAAGTATTGAATTGGGGGGAAAACTTTGCGCCGTGAATTCTCAGCCAAAAGGACGCGGATAAATCGGAAAGATGGCTTACAAAATTTGTTCATTCTGTGGAAAGAGGATGAAGCGAGTTGAAGGGGGTCTGAAGAGGGTAAATAATTTTGGGGAATGGTTGAAAATACGAGGTGGGGGCGCCGACATGTTTGAAGCCTCTTGCGGCAGAGGGAGGAGGATTCGAGCAAGATGGCGGCGCCCACAGGTCAACCATCTCGTCCTGTTTAACATTTCTTGAAATTGATTGTTTTCAGATTAATTTCAACTCGGTTCATTCAGTAATAGAAGAATAACATTTTTCCCCTGCATTTCAGGAATTTATCCTAAAATATTAGAAATCTATCTTTAATTTTCAGTGATCTCTATTAAAATTATTAAGATTTACGACTCTGTCACTGGAAATTAGGGAGAAAGTCACTCGACGTTATAATTTCTGACTCGAGTGTCACAGCTCCCTAAAAACTATAACTTGTTTTCTCCGCGTGAGAAGCTGTTTGAAATTTCATATTCGAGAGTTTTTAAATAAAGACTTCATCCGGAGAAGTCTTTGATACACTTTCATAAACACGCGTGGATGATAGCCTGGCGACGCCGGCTTTAGTCTAAACAAGTGACTAATCGGGAGTTAATGGCTCTAAACGGAAGTCGGGATGACGGAAATTTGCTCGGGACGTTGAGAAAGTAAATGAAGACTCAGTTGATTGGAACATATGCGTATTTAGTTCATTTTTTATTGCTGGCACTCTATCACAATTTTTATCGGCGTATCTGGATAATCACCATTATTTCGTTCATTCTCCGTGGGTTTGATAGATTCACCTGAAGATCGTCCTACACGGGCCGAAACACGGCCGAACCTCTCATAAGTTATCTCGCATCTGATCAATCGGGAAATGAGGAAGTGTTCCCACTGTCGAATGGCGCCTAGGGATGTAGCTTATATATAGCAGTGATTTCGTGTAACTTATCACCGAGTTATAATATTTGACAGTATGTATAACTTACGAGAGATTCTACTGGATTATTGAATCAAGAATATTCTGTGATGAATCAAAAATTTCTTCATTGAAGAAAAAACGTTCAGTGTTTTATTCTGACATTTTTATCCGTTCATCTGTAACACTGGAGGTATACAATGAGGAAAATGAAGAAACCTATACATTTCGTGATACAAACATATTTAACAAGCGCTAACAACATGAAATTGATAAAGGGGGGACGTGAAATTAATAAATTAAACATTTTTAATGTCTACTTTTCCGGAATTTGTTGCTAGATACCTACAAATGACGGATCCGTCCGTGAAAATGAGAACTTTCTTTCTCTTTATAAACATTTGTAGACACCTATTGATCTACGTGTCATAAATTTTTAACAATAAAAGTTGGAACGTATTTTAATGCGCCAGAAATTGCTGAAAAAATTAATAAAAAATCTCGAACTGCCAGATATTCTATTTACAGAAGCCTTTAAGTATAAAATAATGGTCACGTAAAAACGTTTGTAACAATACAATCGGCAGTGAAACTACTATTAAATAGAAAACAATTTTTTGTCGATAGCCCGTTCGTCCAATAAATATTGACATTAAAAAATTGTAGTAAAGTTGAAAAAAATCTAATTCTAAATAATGTTGCCCATTCTTCGGTCGCAATTCACGCAGAAACGACTAAATGGGTTTCAATGGTATTTTTACTATTACATAGTTTAGGGTCCCCAATCGGCTTTAGGCTGTAAGTCATTGTGCTGCAGAGCATAATTTAGTATACACCGTAGAAACTTCTCGAAAATTTTAGAGCGTTCTGAAAAATTCAGGAATTTTCTGGAAAATTTTTGAGCATTCTCGATTTTTTGAGAATATTTTTGAGGTTTCTATAAAGTTTGAGGACATTCTCGGGGTTTTATAGACAGTTCGAGATAATCCTTTGGTTTTACAGAAAATTCAAGGAAATTCTCGCGTCTTATAAAAAATTCGAAGTTCAGTAAAAATTACGGAACTCACAATTCGCTCACCGATTATGGAATGGACTCAGAAAATTTAAGTGACGGTATCGTAAGTTTTCACAGGAGATTCAGATAAAAATTGCGGAACGCTCTGAAAAAAATTCGTGACAGTTCCGGAATTACGGAAAAGGTACGTAATTTTTATTGAATATTTCTCTCCGTGCAGCAAGTTTACGAAAAACTCAGTAACATAAACCGCCACCAGGTCGGTATGAGCAGCCTCCTGAAACCCTAGTGTACCTACACCGGTCGATAGACGGGTGGGGATGAGTGGCAGCTGCGACGCAGGGTTTACGGCGCACACAGTGTTCCAGTCTTTGTCCTACTTGAAACCTATTCGGCCTTGTGGCTCTCGCGAGACTGCCTCGCCACGTAATTACCTGCGCATTGAACTCAATCCGAAAATTCCTCGGAATAAAAATCCCAAATTGAAAACCCAGATAGAAACCCCTCAAAAATAATAAAAAAATGGGAAAGGGTTTTGCTCTCGTGCACTGGATTCAGTCGAAACGATCGGAAATACTCAAGTGCGAACTGATTCCCGAGAAGTTTCGTCGAGAGAATGCCATTGTGAATTTAAAGTGCCGTCACTTGTTGTCTGGTGTGTCCGAGATTCGTCTCGCAAAAATAGTGAAAATCGAGCGTAAGTATGGCTATATTTTTCATACGAATGCAACCGGATAACTGTTGAATTGATACCGTCGGGGGGAGGGGGGAGCATTGCTTTTGTATTTCAACGGCAGCACTGTCGGGAGAATCAGCTGATTCCGAGACGTTCACGAAACTGGTTTGAAATGCACGAGGCACTGGGGAGAGGGAAACTGGTAGGAGAGGAGACTTGAGTTGGGACAGATGCTAGCCCGCAGTGGTAAAAGAGCCAATGAGTGTTCTGCTTTAATGTGAAGGCGCGCGAAACCACCGTTTCAAATTGAAAGCATTGAATTCTATTTGTGAATAAAAATTGCTCTGTCGCTCGTGCCAGCTTCTTTTTCCTGAAAAAATCGGTAGCTCAAGATGTAAAAATGATGAGAATGATTTTAATAATGACGATATATTTCTTTTTAATTTGTTAGTAATGGATTAGTCGCATTTGTTCGTTCAATTGAATAGAAACGGTTGAATAGAAATTTGAATATTCAGAACGTTGGCCTTAATTAACTTCAATTAATTTTTTAAATTAAATTCAGTTGTTGTTCTTACGAAAAAATGAACTCGTCATTTATTTTGTATTCCACGTATTTTTCAAGAATGCAGATGCAAATGTCAGCTCACAAATCACAAAAGATCAGTGAAAAAACTAGAATTATTAGCGAATAAACGACTCAAAAAAATTTATTCTCTATTTCTAAATGAAAATTATTTTTTGGCTCAAGGAATTTTTTTCATTTGAAATTGATAACTAAAGGTATAATAATGATAATAAGGATTTAAATAATGATGACAATGAATTTTTCAATTTAACTTCTGTTAGTCCTCTCGAAAAATCAGCTTAAATTCATTTTTTATTCCCCATATTTTTACAGAAAATAAAACAGACTTGCATAACATCACAGTAGACCCAGATACGGGAGTAATAATGCAAATGTCAGCCAACAAATCCCAGAAAATAACAGGGAAAAAACCAGAATCACTAGCGAAAAAGCTCCTCAGACTGAAAGACTCTAGAAAGAAGAAGAAAAAGTCTGGGAAACGAAAGAAATCCAAACACATTGACGAGTCTAGTGATTCTGATGATTCATCGAGCAGTGATTCAAGCTCGGAAGAGTCAGCCGATGAGCCTGGAGATGACAGTGATGATGAGGGTGCCTCGAGAGCAGTGAAATCCTTACTCTCCTCTGGTATTTTCATCCCTCAAAATCCCTAAAACTCGCAGTCCACAAATTCTGTTGCAATTTCCCTCATTTTGCAATTATTTTTCTATTCAAACTTCTCAAAGTCTAGACTTGATCCTCAACTCCTACAGTGAGAAGACATTCTAAAAAATGGAAACGCCTTCATAAATTTTGAAAGTTACAAATAATGAATTGATAAAAAAAATCGAAAAAAACTGTTGAATGAATGTAATAATTTTTTAGTGACAGCAGACAGTATAAAGTTCGTCCGAAAGCTCCTCCCATTGATGGAGAGAGCGTACAAGAGACAGCAGAAGACTTCCCGAAAGCAGGAAACAATTGTTGAAGAGCCAGAGCCAGATCCAATAGCAATTATTGATCCCGAGCCGGTAATGAACGAAACTCCGTCTCCACTGAAAATATTTCATAGAAACTATTCCCGTACTCCAATCAAATCCCCAAAACTCAATTTCATATGCACAGACTGTCCTCTGTGCAATCTGACTCGACTCAATATTTGAATCCTCTCGAAAATAGGTGAATCTGCAGTCTAGTCTCGAGGGATTCCTCCCACCAATGACAATAGCTGCAATATTTCATCGGTGCCAGGATCGAATGGACTGGAAGAAACTAACGACTGATGTACTCGTTGAAATTTATGGTAAACAATTAGCACACCTGTCGGCTAAGGGTAGCAGAGGTGCGCAGGGCATCGATCCTGCTGTCTATCGTGCCATTTACGGTACGTTAACGCCTTGAGTCAGTTTTGCGAGAATTATAGCGGCGCAGGAGGGGGGGGGTGGAGGTAAATGGACACTTGACTTTTTTTTAAAGTAGGCGAGATGTCGTCATTCTATTCAATGTCACTCTTCTGAAAATTACTAACCAACTGTGTATGAAATTTCAATTTTGAATTTGTCTTTTATTGTCAAAACAATAAACGACAAATTCAAAATTTTATGGAAAAATCGATGAAAACTGTAAATTTTAATTCTATTATCAATGCAAATTAAGAAACACCAGAAAAATTCATGTGAATATATTCTTGGATTCACAACTAATTGAAAGTGCACGGGAAATTGTGAAAATCTCGACTTTCTGACGCTTAAAAGTTTGGAATTCCATTAAATTTTCGGCGAAACCTGTAATTTCATCATTTTTTCCCAAAACAATGAACAAAAATCATTAATTTTATTCCTAGATTTGGTAAACATGAGACTGGGTTGGATTCTCCCCACAAAAGAATTCGTGAGGCACGTGAACAAAGTCTGTTCAAACCGTAAGAAAGCGCAGAGAATGAAAATGATGAGCGCCCCGCCTGACACCTGGAGCGACGTTCAAGTGAAATTAGAATTGCCAACGACATCGACTCATGCTGAACCCCAGCAGGAAATCGCCCCAGGGCCTTCCTCAATCCCCAGTTATCAGCAGTACATGACTAAACCTGTGGAGAGTGACTCCAAGCCTGTAATAACTGCGATCAGGTCCGAAGAGAATTCAGGGAGTTCCATTCCTTCGTCTTCCATGGCGGAGGGAGTTGCGCCGTCCGCACATGGGAGTGAATATGGCTACATCTCTGAGCCAACTTACCAGAATCCTGTGTCGTCTCACCTCGACTATGAATTTTCATCGTAATCATTCTTTATTTTCATATTTTGACACTTCTTTTTATTTTTAATAAATTTTTCAATAAATATTGTAGTAATTAAGATATGAATGTATTTTTTAAATAAAATAAATGATTTTATCATGAACCGTNAAATGGACACTTGACTTTTTTTTAAAGTAGGCGGGATGTCGTCATTCTATTCAATGTCACTCTTCTGAAAATTACTAACCAACTGTGTATGAAATTTCAATTTTGAATTTGTCTTTTATTGTCAAAACAATAAACGACAAATTCAAAATTTTATGGAAAAATCGATGAAAACTGTAAATTTTAATTCTATTATCAATGCAAATTAAGAAACACCAGAAAAATTCATGTGAATATATTCTTGGATTCACAACTAATTGAAAATGCATGGGAAATTGTGAAAATCTCGACTTTCTGACGCTTAAAAATTTGGAATTCCATTAAATTTTTGGCGAAACCTGTAATTTCATCATTTTTTCCCAAAACAATGAACAAAAATCATTAATTTTATTCCTAGATTTGGTAAACATGAGACTGGGTTGGATTCTCCCCACAAAAGAATTCGTGAGGCACGTGAACAAAGTCTGTTCAAACCGTAAGAAAGCGCAGAGAATGAAAATGATGAGCGCCCCGCCTGACACCTGGAGCGACGTTCAAGTGAAATTAGAATTGCCAACGACATCGACTCATGCTGAACCCCAGCAGGAAATCGCCCCAGGGCCTTCCTCAATCCCCAGTTATCAGCAGTACATGACTAAACCTGTGGAGAGTGACTCCAAGCCTGTAATAACTGCGATCAGGTCCGAAGAGAATTCAGGGAGTTCCATTCCTTCGTCTTCCATGGCGGAGGGAGTTGCGCCGTCCGCACATGGGAGTGAATATGGCTACATCTCTGAGCCAACTTACCAGAATCCTGTGTCGTCTCACCTCGACTATGAATTTTCATCGTAATCATTCTTTATTTTCATATTTTGACACTTCTTTTTATTTTTAATAAATTTTTCAATAAATATTGTAGTAATTAAGATATGAATGTATTTTTTAAATAAAATAAATGATTTTATCATGAACCGTTGGGATTTTCAACAGGATTTTTGGTTCATTTTTCAGTCTGATTTTTTTTCTGTCATAATTAAGAGGCCACTAAAGGGAATAGAAGCCATTAAAATGCGGGGAAAACTCTGGAAATCGCCTCGAAAAATTTGCTCTTTTCCTATCAACAGAATGACACAAGTCGGAGGTGGTCTGGAGGGGAGAAAACGATAAAAAAAATGTTCAAGAATACGAAGTGGTCAACAGGTGTGGGCGCCGCCATCTTGGACACCCTATCCCTCTGCCGCAGGGCTTTAAAGATGGCGGCGCCTCCACCTCGTGTTTTTAAACATTTCTTAAAATTATTTATCCTTTTCAGATCACCCTCAATTCACTTCGTCCGGTTTCTATAAAAGTAACAAATTTTTTAAGCCGTCTTTCTGATTTTTCGATGCCCTTTGGGGTCTCACATAATTCTCTGTAGAACGAATGTGTTTACCCGAAAGACATAGATGTCTCATGAGAGCAATTAGTACTACGAAAATTATCATGTTTCGGTGGAAACTGTATTGTTCGTCCACAAGTAAATTGATTCAACGCGACAAAAGGAGCAGAGAATTTAAGTGACGGTATCGCAATTTTTCACAGGAGATTCAGATAAAAATTACGGAAGGCTCTAGAAAAATTTCGTGACAGTTCCGTAAAGTTTCCTACAACCACATTTCGCTCCGGAATTACGGAGAAGATACGTAATTTTTATTGAATATTTCTCTCCGTGCGTATAATTTTCGGCAATTTTTCGGCAGAACTAATTTTATCTCTCAGTGTTCGAATTTGCTTCCACTGCAACATGATTGGATCTGAATTGTTAATGAAACGCCTTTTTTTCGTCACAAGAGAATCGTCTTCTCCATTTTCGAAAGAGGGGAAAAAATAATTTTCTTTTATCACCAAGTTATTTTTTCCGTCAATTATAATGGAGAAATGCACAGTGCCTTTGCTCTACTTCGTAAAAATATGCAGTCGGAAGCATTTGGGTCTCACCGACTTATATAAGACGTTGGAAAAACTTTTTCCTTCTGTGTCTCCTTTTCGCCTCCACCCACCGCCCACCCTGTCCCTCTTGGAATCTTGATAAACGCTTCGGTCCATCTACTGGCACACGGATATGAAGAGATGGAATAAGTTTTTCATTGAATTAAGAAAGTTTCACGTAAAAGTACATTAATGGAAAACCCCCAGTCCTTTCTGGTTTCCCAGAGTGTTTTCATCTTTTTTTTCCGTCAGGTTTGCTAGTAACATAATGAGAAAATCTCGCGACAAACTAATTAAAAATTGGTTGAGAAGTTCATAGCGGATGGTTCTGATCGTGTCTGACGTGAAAATGGAAATTATTATTTATATTTCCAGCCACATCCGGTGCTGGTCGCGCGAGTTTATTCCTTATTTATCCGTGAATTCTGTTTTTAATTCACCTCTCGAGGCTTCATTCTTGAATGGAGAGTGGCAAATAATACATTTGGCAATCTGTTCTACATGTTCGAGGTGGGTGGGTAAAATCGACACTTTTAACTTTTTTTTTAATTGTTAATGAATTAGCGAATTGTTGATAAAATGGAATAATTTATTTTTCAATGCACAAATTTTTGGCATTGAATATCTATATTTAAAAAATCTAAATGGACTTCTGGTGATAACAATTTGGTACTCGAAATTAAGAGTCACAAGGGTCATGAGGGTCACATGTGGATCATTAAAATGAAAAAACTTATGGAAAAATTAAGGGAAGGTGGAAATTTCCAATCAATTACTGCATAAAAATTTCCAGAAATGATAAAAATTATCATTTGTAAATCTCTTTCTGAGTTATGAACATTAAAAAAATGAAAACCCACTACCCATTTTACTCCGCATAATTCCCTCGAGCTTTCATCACTTGAAATCCTCATGTTACTTGATATTGGCTCAGCGATAATTATTTTTATCTCTACTACGTGCTACAATGGCACGTGTTCATGACTAATTCCAGTATCGATTTGCCATTGTCCATGGATGCAAAAATATTCCTCTGACTCTGGGAACGATTATCGCATTCCCTCCGACTCTTGAATTTTCCATTGACTTACGAGATACAAGCGACCGAAACGTGATTAGCGACACTGTTCATCACATCCATATAAACCTGTAATATGGTTTCATTATAAATCCCCGATTATCTATCGCTGTCTTCGCCTCCGGCTCTCGTTATGATCCTTGTTAGCCGAGCTTTTATCATTATCCTGAAAACCATGTTTAACGAAATTACGACCGAGATTTTTTTATTTCAAAATTTTTTTTCCACTCGACAGTCTAGGGAGCAGCGAGCAACCGAATTTCAGGTACAATTACTTTTACGATGTTCGTTATTTTCTAGTTTCCCTCGTTATCAAATGTTGCGGCGATGAAATTCCTATAATATTCCTCGGGAATATCATTATTTACCTCAACTCGCCTTATATACCTTGAATTATCCCATTGGTGGAACAATTGATGGGGAAAAAATTGTTTTCTCAATTTCATTCGAAATTCGTATAAAATGGCTGTTTTATTTTCGTTTTATTGATTTTTGATGCTGTGAAATCATAGTGACAGAAAAAAATTGAAATTTCATTGAATTGGACTAATTACGCTAAACTTTGAGTAAATTAAAAATTCAAGAATGAATTTTTATTCATTTTCGTGGAACAATTAAACTAAAATTCACAGTTTTTATTGATTTTTCCGAACAATTTTTAATTTTCAATTACTAAATTATTTTGAAATTTCAACTCTCCTTACATACCTTGAATTATCTCATGAGTGGAACAATCACTCGAAAAAAATTGTTTTCTTACTTCCATTCGAAATTTATATAAACGTGTCTTATATCCTTTTTATTGGTTTTTGTTGCTGTAAAATTATGCGCTGCTAGGATAAAAAATTGAAATTCCGTCGAATTGCACTGAATTTAATTTAATGAAAAAAACCATAAAGTTTCAATCAGCATACGAAAATTCATTAACAAATTACGTTGAGTTTTAAATTAATTAGAAATTCAGGAACCGAGTTAATTAATTAGAAATTTTTTACACCGGAAATTTCATCCACAAACAATTAATACCGAGTGTGAGGGTTGCAGTCACTCGAGTTACTACTCCGACTTATCAAATAACAATATTAATTCATTTATTTTATTTATTTACTGCTTTTTAGTTACATAATAACAATTTACAGGGGGGCAGTTTTATACATAAAGTTGAAAAATATTACATAAATATATAAAAGTAAAAGACATTTCTCCAAAGGTAGTTGATGTACAGCAAAAGCAAAAAACTCCAAAATTCAGTTACATAACCAGATAAATTTTCATAAAATTGATCCAGCGATTTTTTCGTATTTGAATACATCACAACATCTAGTCATTTAACAATTGAGATCTAAATCGCAAAGCTTTTTTGCAATAGCAATAGAGGTTTCTACGCGTTCTAAAATCGTTTCAGGGAACTTCAATCCACTTGTTCGTGACTAGTTCAGGCAAAAAGTAACTTTCGCCCCAAAAAAAACGAAAAACGGGCAGAATTTGTCCTGGAGCTGATAATTCCCTCGTGGGTTGACCCCAGAAGACTCGAGCAGGTGTAAAATACCCAAAATTTTTCATCGAAGCAAGAGTCAACAATGCATTGAGCCTCGTTACCCAGCTGGCATCGTCAATTTCCCCACAATTAACTGCCTCCCGGGTGTACGTGTGTGACCATTGACTCGTGAGCAAGTCTCCCGACGAATAAGATACGCCTTGAGGTGAAAAACGCACGTGCGCTACGTATGGACCGCACACGGGGATCGAATATGAAGCCCCTGCACCCGCTGTGCTCACTGGATCGTCACACCGATGACTTTCAGCCGCCCAAAACGAGGCGTGCGCATGTGGCCGTCGGAATGTTTCTCCGGTTTTGGTATTTCAGCAGTAT